AAATTTAATTTTATTTATAATTCATTAAACAGTTATACAAACACTGCGGGTATACCTCATTGTATCCTAATATACCGACTTCGTTGGTATAGGGGCCGGCATTACCACCTTTGCTGCCACTGGCACATGCAGCACCAATACCATGTTGGGCAGCATTGGCCAGGGTAAATGATCGGCCATATGTACCCATTCCCATCATCTAATTTAGAGTTATTGTAAAAATAAGTGAAATATTTTCAAAATGGCAACACTATAACATAATTAATTATAAACTGTATATTTTGAACACAATAAGATTGGTACATTTTTACAAAAATTTATACATATCTTTGGGTCCTCTAATCTCGACTTTAATATTTTATAAAAATTATATTATCTATGAAAGGTCAATCAATAATTTTCTATACTGATTATGAATATTTTAATAGTGTGCAAATATTTTCTACTTATAATGTGTATGAATATAATTTTACAAAAAATTTATAACCTCTACATACTGTCAATTTGTTATTTATACATTTATCAAGGTATTATTGTAATTCATTGGATAGTTAGTGGGTGGAAAACAATAGGTTTATTAAAGGTATTTTTAACTAAACCACATAATAACATGTTAATACACAATAATAACCTGTATTTTAAATTTATTATAATTAACACACATTTACTTTCTCTTATGTATTGATACGCGGGGACTATCTTACTTTCCATGAATATTTAACTTTTGGTATTAACACAAATTAACCCAGCTTATGTAAATAACAATATTCAAAACATTAAACAGCACCTACCAATTTCTTAGGGTTAGCCCCTTGTTTAATCCAATACTCCATGCCATACGACACCGTCAACTCCTTGTCCTCCTCCGAGGCTTTAGGGTCGGGATATAGGGGAGCGTTATGTCCTAAAAATGCACCCAAATAATCAAAATACCTAGATCAATTTGTTAGCACCCAAACTGACCTGTCTTATTCTCCCAGGCGCCGCCATGAAAATCATAGGCCATAACGTTAATGAAGTCCAACAACTCATTCAACTGTTTCACGTCATACGAGACGTCAATAGTCTTTTTGCCCGCACTTACAGCCGCTGACAGTAAATAGTTGTGTGGTTTGAGGGCATTCCGGAGCTCACGTAACAGCGATATATAGTTTTCCTTATCTTTCGGATTACCGGGTACGCGGTCGGCCTCACCAACAGCTTTAAAGCCCGGGTACTCCCTATGCAATCAAAAGTGGGAAATGTTAGATAGCTATCGGAGATACAGTTTTTCATGTTTTGCATACCAGTCCACATCGAGTCCATCAAATTTATAAGTTTGTATAAACTTAACGACTGAGTTAACAAACTTTTTCCGTGAGTCCGGACTACTGGCCATTTGCGAGTACTTGTCTGACCCCTCATTCCAACCCCCGATTGATATCATGGCTTTCATATTATGGTTGACATCACGCAAGTGCTCAATACGCCGGTACATACCTGTCCACCAGAAAAAAGGTGTTCGTTATTAAACAATTGTTTAATTGCTAGATTATGCTGAGCCTACTGACCCTCTCCCCAGGGTAGACCACTTTTGTAGTCAGTGTCGCCTAAATCCAGATCCTTTTCCATGACCTCTATCTCACCGCCGGCGCCGAGTTTGGCGAACCCGTACATCATGTGTGTACACAACAGGGGGTTTGACATCTCGGGTGCGAACTATGGTATACCATTGAGCAGGGTTATATTTGTTTATATTTTATAAGGTTAAACCAATAATACAATACGGTAATACTATTTAAAACACATACCTTTCCTTTGGCTCCACCACTATCTCTATACCACGACCATGAGCCCCAATAGCACACCACGTTATATGGCGTCCCATTTGTCTCTGGCAATATAAATTACATTTAAGCTAGTATTAATTTATTAATTTATAAAATTTGCTAATTAATTACCATTAAGTGGTGTGGCATTTATAGCTACTATTAACACCACTAATAAATTCAAAGTAATCCACATTTTATTTATTTGTAATAATTATTTCACTACAAATAAAATAATATATTCTCAACTTTTATATAAAAATTATATCTAATCGTGTAGATAACACCAGGTTAATTTTGATAAAAACATTAAGTAAACTAAGTACTTAAAGTTTGTGTATTGCATTTTGTATAAATTATTAACACATTGTTTAACCTTTAGTTTATTTTAAATTAATTGTTTTTGGTTAATTTATTACTACGTAATTAAGTTAAATAAATCAGACATAATACCGGGTGATTATTTGTAAAATTTATATTTATTAAATCTCCTGTATACAATAAAGATCAATCATTGTTCACGTGTTCATATTTGATGTAATGTGGTTGTTAAGTGTTTTTAAATTGATAATTAGTATTGGTAAGTGCTTAGACATTATGTCTGTAAATTACAATCATATGACCCGGATATAAAGCTGTCAAATTCTCTAAATAAGTAATTCTAAGAAACTTAATACAATCTCTTGGTAAATTAAGTGACTATGGTTTTGATTATTAGTACCAAACCTTTAAATGTTACTAACATTTAAAATGCAACTTGATCATATTTTATCTGACTGATGAGTATAATTTTAATAATTAATGAAATAACATTAATTAAACAAACCAGATTATTTCAAATTATTATGTCATTATAATAAATTGAAAAATATAACTATACTGTATACATTGTAAAGCGAGTCAGTAATGTTTTTATTTAAATTTCATGTAAGTCCAATGTGAATAAAACTGTAACTAATATATATTAAACATAATTATTCAATTATATAAACATTTAAATAATTAATATTGGTAACATATTTTAAATTATTTTAATTAAAGTTTAATAATATTATGTTTTCACTTATTCAAAATTTTAGTTTAAAAAATTTAACAAGGCAAAATAGGCACAAATAAGTGCATTTGTTTTCGGATTAATTTTTTTAACAACCTCTATATCTAAACAATCCTTTCTATTAAAATCAATAAATTATGATTAAATTTAAAGTTAAAAAATTTTGAAAATAAATATGCTTGGTTGCTTTACATTAATTTATGTTAGAATTCCAAATATATAAAAACCTTAAAAATAGTGGTGTGTTTATAAAGTCAAAACAAAAATTCAATTTAAATAAATGCAAAAGTTTCCAAATTATACATTTAATTTTTATTAAATAACTTAAAATATAAAATATTTCACCAATGTCACTTTATTGTAACATTACGGCGCGTGTGTCGGTGCCGTTGGGATTGGAGTCACATGTATTTCATGTATCTCAGGGTCGGGTTCACCGGTAATACCATTGAGCTCTTGGCTAATAGTCTTAATCAATGGGTGCTTACGTCCGCCGCAATTGCCGTGAAAGTCGTCCGTATCGATGGACCACACGATAGCACCTCCCAGTCCTTTGCCCTTCAGGTACGACAGCTTATCCTTAAGGGACATCTCGTCGTCATAACCCACCCATTGTTTATCACTCACGGCGTACACCACTTTCTGGGTGTCGTCTCGATAGGCTGTCCACCCGGCGCTCAAAAACTCGCAAATCTATGCAAATTGAAAATTATTTTGTTTTTATTAATTATTTATATAGTTATGTGATTACAGTGGGTATACCTCATTGTAACCTAACATTCCCGCGATTCCAGTATATGGTCCCTCTTTACCGCCTTTCCAGCCAATATCTGCCGGCGCACCGATGCCATGTTGAGCAGGATTTATCAAGGTAAATGTTCGGCCGTATGTTGCCATTCCCATCATCTGTTTAATTTAACCATACATTTTAACACATTTAAATAAAACTAATATATCACAAACTGTAGTTTTTATGTTTCAAAGTTAAGCAAGCACATATTTTTGTAAATCTATATTTATCTTGGGGATTCAACAGTTGATCATATTTTTGTGTTTCATTATTTTTAAATAATAGTTTTTAAAATAAATATAACTATTATAATATGAATATTATTAGTAAAATAAAGGGCTATAGTACAAATGTTAACAACTGTGGTTTATAAACTAACTCGCTACCACGCATATAAAGTAATGCAATAGAGATTATTAAATGGACTATAGTCTCGTCCTAATAAATAATTTTTTATACATAATAAGACAAAAACAGTAATTTTTAATTTAAACATTTATCACATTATAAATTTATTCTATATGAGGTTGAAAATGGCTATTGTATTATGACTACACGACAATATCAAATACATAACACCTACCAATTTTTTAGGACTGGCCCCTAATTTAATCCAATACTCCATACCATACGACACCGTCAACTGCTTGTCCTCCTCAGAGGCTTTAGGATCGGGATATAGGGGAGCGTTATGTCCTACGAATACAAGTAATTATATGAATACCTGATTTCGTTTTTAATAAATAGTAACACTAACTGACCGGTCTTATTATCCCAGGCACCTCCATGAAAATCATAGGCCATTACGTTAATGAAGTCCAACAACTCATTCAACTGTTTCACGTCATACGAGACGTCAATCGTCTTTTTGCCCGCACTTACAGCCGCTGACAGTAAATAGTTATGCGGTTTGAGGGCATCCCGGAGCTCACGTAACAGTGCGATAAAGTTGTCCTTATCCTTAGGATTACCGGGGGTTCGGTCGGCATCTTTGACGGCCTTAAAGCCCGGGTACTCCCTATGAAATCACAGGTGGGAAATGGATGTGTAAAACTGTAGGTGTGCTATGTTTGCTACAATGTATTGCATACCAGTCCACATCGAGTCCATCGAAATTATATGTTTGCAAAAATTTAAGGGCTGAGTCGACAAACTTTTTCCGTGAGTCCGGACTACTGGCCATCTTTGAGTACTTGTCTGAGCCCTCATTCCAACCCCCGATAGATATAATGGCTTTCATATTGGGGTTGACATCACGCAAGTGTTTCACACGACGGAACATACCTGTCCACCACATCATTAGAAAATTTCATAATTTTTATTATTATAACTAAATATATATATTTTTCTAATTGGTCATTTACCTAAACCCCATGGCTCTCCACTAGTATATTCTGTATCACCCAAATCCAGATCCTTGTCCATGACCTCCATTTCCAGGCTGTCATCACCAAGTTTTGCGAACCCATACATCATATGCGTGCAGAGCATTGGGTTTGACAATTCCGGCCAAAACTTGTGTGTTTTGAAAATGTAACAGGGTTCAAATAACTTTAAATCTTATTGACTCTTAAATACTAACCTTGCCACGACCACCATGGTTATCCCTGTACCATGCCCATACGCCATAATAACACATTACGTTATATGGTGGTGCATTTGTATCTATGATTTATAAAGTTATGAATGTAATATTTACATTAATAAAAATGATTAGTTTATATATTAAATAAAATTACCATTTAAGGGTGCTGAATTAACAGCAGCAATAAATAACACAAGTAAGTTTAAAATGATCCACATTGTTGATACTTTAGTAAAATTTTTAAATTGAACACAATTAACTTAGCATTTATATACCATAATTTTGTCATAAAACTTTAGTGTGAATGTGCTAGATTATGATTTATGCACTAATATTTTAATCTTATTTGTAACAATCAGACTTATATTATCTGACACGTATGTTTTCAGAAGTACTGACTTGTGTGAGATTTATCGTGATTTGATATTCAAAGAATTATTTAATAATTACATGGAAATGTTCAGGGTATGTTAGCAATACTAAAAAGCAACACTAACTAGTGGAATTATATCCGGATTAACACTGTATACAAAAACACATTAATTTTTGTAAAATATCCTTTAAATAAACTTAATGTACACATTATTCCAGGAATAAACTTTAGGTGTGATAATCCGGGTACTTCATAAGTCAAGTATCCTCTCAAATAACATTATGTTTATGTAATGATAATTACCGTACCTATAATTTATCAAGAGCCAAATACGGATGTACTTTCAAAAATCATTAACATTATGTATATACTATGTTTTAAAAAGCTAGAACTAAAAAATTAATTTAAATAACTTTTAATTAACTTTATTTAACAATTCCATTAAAATAGCCGATTACATCAAGTATGAACAAGCTCAAATGTGTTTAACATTTTTAAGAAATATTTATTGCATATTCGTGGTCATTTAAAATTTAAATTATTATTATTATTATAACTAGGATTACTAATTTACTATGTAATCAAAAAATAGATATTGTAGTGTTCATTAAACCAACAAAACCCCGGGGATTATCATAATATAAAGTGAATTATACATTTTAAATCCCATAAGTAGTTTTAATAAATAGTAAATGAGTGTGAAATGTATAATTTTTTTACCTTAATGTCATCATGCTCATAAATAAAAATATTTAATTTGAGATTCTTATGCATAGTATGTCATAAAAAACATTTTCAAATGTTTTTGTCACAGAATTTGTTTCAACAAAAAAATAACAATAAGTTTATTATTATTATCATTATACTCATAGACTTAATAATTATTAACCATTATTAACTAGAACATTAATCAATATTAATCATTATTAAACCTCTATAGACATTGTAAACAAAATAGTAATCCATAGCATAACGTGTGTGTTGTATTGCATGAGTTGTAGCCACCAGACTACCGGTGCCCTACGGCAGGCAGTCCCACAATATTTGTCTCGTGGGCTCATTGAGTGAATCGGGAAACTTGATGTCAAAGGTGACGATAAGGTCGCCCCGTTTGGCGGTGTCCTTGGCGTGG